TAAGACACTCTTACAGGGCACTTTTGTAGGACAATCTTATGGAATACGCTTAAAGGACACTCTTGCAGGTCACTCTTATGGAACATTTTCTTGTGGGACATTCTTATAGGACATCTTTATGGATCATTCTTACACGACACTCTTATAGGACACTTCTTGTGGGACACTTTTGGAGGACACTCTTATGGGTCACTTTTGTGGGACACTCTCGTAATATATTCTTATGGGACACTCTTGTGAGACACTCTTGTAAGAAACTCTTGTGGGATACTCCTGTAAGATATTCTTACGGAACACTTTTTTGGTGAAACACTCTTGTGGGACATTCTTGTAGGGCACTCTTGTGATCTCTTATGGGATTTTTTATAAGACACTCTTGTGGGACACTTTTAAGGGATACTCTTATAGGACACGATTGCGAGACACTCTTGTAGGACACTCTTCTAAGACATTCTTATGGAACACTCTTGTAGGAAACTCTTGCGGGATACTTTTGTAAGACACTTTTGTGGGACACTTTTGTGGGAGATTCTTGTAGGACACTCTTGTGAGACACTCTTGTGGGACACTTTTGGGGAACACTCTTGTAGAAAGGTCTTGTGGGATATTCTTGTAGGACACTCTTGTGGGACACTCTTATAGGACACTCTTGTAGGACACTCTTAAAAGACACTCTTGTAAGACACTCTTATAGGACACTCTTGCGGGATACTTTTATAAAACATTCTTAAGAGATACTTTGTGCGACACTCTTGTAGGAAACTCTTGTGGAACACTCTTGTAGGACACTCTTGTAGGACACTCTTGTAAGACACTCTTGTAGGACACTTTTGTAGGACACTCTTGTAGGACACTCTTATAGGACACTCTTGTGGGTCACTCTTATAGGAAATTCCTGTGGAAGATTCTTACAAGACACTCTTATGAGACACTCTTACGGAACACTCTTGTAAGACGCTCTTGTGGGACACTCTTATAGGGCACTCTTGTGGGTCACTCTTATAAGACACTCTTATCGGACACTCTTCTTGAAATTCTTGTGGGATATTCCTGTAGGACACTCTTGCGGGACACTTTTGTAGGACACTCTTGTAGTGCGCTCTTGTGGGACAGACACTCTTGTAGGATACTCTTGTGATCTCTTGTGGGACACTCTTATAGGACACTCTAGACACTATTAAGGGATACTCTTGTAAGACACTCTTGCGGGACACGGTTGCGGGACACTCTTGTGGGACACTCTTATGGGACACTCTTATGAGACAGTCTTAAGGGACACTCTTGTAGGAAACTCTTGCGGGATACTCTTATAGGACATTCTTAAGAGACACTTTTGTATAACACTCTTATAAGAAACTCTTGTAGGACACTCTTGTGGGACACTCTTGGAGGACACTCTCGTAGGACATTCTTGTGGAACACTCTTCTAAGACATTCTTACGGGACACTCTTGTAGGACACTCTTGTGGGACACTCTTGTAAGAAACTCTTGCGGGGTACTCTTGTAAGACACTCTTAAGGGACACTCTTGTGTGACACTCTTGTAAGACACTCTTGTGGGACACTCTTATGGGACACTCTTGTGTGACACTGTTGTAGGACACTCTTGTGGGACACTCTTGTAGGACACTTTTGTGGGACACTCTTGTGGGACACTTTTGTGGAACACTCTTGTAGGAAGGTCTTGTGGGATATTTTTGTAGGACACTCTTGGGGGACACTCTTGTAGAACACTCTTGTAGGACACTCTTGTAGGAAACTCTTGAAACTCTTGTGGGATACTCCTGTAGGACACTCTTACGGGAGACTCTTGTAGGACACTCTTGTAGGGCGCTCTTATGGGACACTCTTAAAAGACACTCTTGCAGGTCATTCTTATGGCACACTCTCTTGTGG